CACTAACTTCCCGACATTATTGTTCGCAAAAGGTCAAAGCAATTTAAATTCCTATAACAGTTAATCTAATAGCAACTGAATTTGTTTTGGTTGTAGCAAGCGAGTTTAAACTACCATTAGAATTGGTTATGATCATTCTACGAGATATCAGGCGCCATAAAGGTAATGTCAAAAGATAGGGGTACTCAAAAAAATATCAACAAAAAGTATAAGGCGAATGTATCAAACGAGAGGTCGGGGCAAAAAATTGTTTATACATTAAGAATATAATCGCTTGAAACGCAACACCTCTATGCGTGCATTCTTCTTCTGAAAGAGAGGAGAACGCCAGGCGATTTTCGATTTTGTGTAGATTGGTCCCACCTATTGTGAATTCCGTAGGACTGAAATTTATTTGACAGCAGTACTGTCTGTGGAGAATGGAAAATGGCGGAATGGCAGAATATATTGGCATTATGGATATAACTCATGGTTTGTTTTTGGCGGGGATCCGACAAACGTTATTGGTATTTAGAGACATTTAACTATTAGGGGCTATGTTTTTCTTTCTTTAACAGTGAAATATGAGACAGCGACTGTAAAAAAAAGGACTTGCCGACAGTGGGGTCGTTAGTTACGGTGGGAATTAATATTGTTTTAAGTATGCTATGACAAGACAACGCTTAAGTATGTACCCAAATAGATAGGATTGTGAAAAAAAATAGCATGTGAAAACTCTTGACGATAAGTCTATATTTTTAAACATAAACGTTGTTCAAGTGTCAACTAGTTTATTGATGATAAATTAATATTTTGAAACAAAAGTTTTGGGTTGATTTAGTTAAATACTTAATACTGTAAAATTTTAAAAGAGATTTTGTGTATATTGTTAAATATTGTTATTGAACGCAAACCTCGATATATCTATATTATGATAAGTTTATTCAAATAAAATGTACTACATTGCAATTAGTATTAGTTGAAATTGCCGATTTCTTTAATTGAATGTTGTCAAGTTTTTACTCCTAATTATAAAATTAAAATTAAAAAAAAATATATATCTTGAGATAGAGGATCTAGCGTGCAATAGTACCTAATAGATCCAAATTTTCAAAGTAAGAAAAAGTAAAGTTTACGATATAAAGTAAATATGCGAGATCCAGTCACACTAAGGCAACATTAAATATCCACATGACGAGTTCTAGTTTTATATCGATTAAAAGCCTCAGTTATAATTATATAGTTTTTTATTTTATTTTATTTTGTCAATTTAATATATAACATTATATTATTATATCTATATGTGTAAGGGAATTTTATGAGCATTTGTCATTTACAAGAATTGTACTTAATTATATATAAAATATACATAGGTGTTAAAAATAATTTTATGCTATAATCTGTACCTCATTGAAGATGTAAGTATGCTGAAACCAAGGCTTGGTGTTAATTTACGAGTAGATATCCGATAATATTAAATACCACATTATTTCTTGAGAATCCGGTACGTTGCTCGCCCCCTGCAATCTCAGAATAATGTTCAATGAGCTCAGCAACACGAGGGCAAGTCCATTGTTACGTTTTCTACAATGATAAATGTTCACAATGCCTATAATTTTGCAAGTTGTACTATAGCTGTATATATACATACACAAAAGAAAATGCTCATATTTAATATTGCAACGATCCGGCAGTAGTAGTTTTCTGAAACTTCGTTGTTATCCTGAAATGACAGCTTTATTTTGTTTACATGATATTACTTCTTACTATGTGCGAAATGTATTTTCGAATTTGTTTTATTTAATATCAAATGAAATATTAAATAAGCTCTATTTTGATATATAAGAAAATACGTCGTGGGTTGTCTCTCATTAAAAAATATAGTATACTGATGCCCATAAAATATGTAAAAGTTGATTCCTATTCCTTACTTTAAAATACATATTTAATTTATATTTTGTAAGAAAAAACCCGACCGCCTAATGGCAGCGATCACGATGAACATACTAAATCGATACTATATAAGTAACAACTCTTAGATTACGCTCAGGACATTATCCAAATGCAAAATTTGCTTTTCTTATGAAAAAAGTTAATAATCCGAATTGTGATATTTGTAACACATTGGATGATGTTCACCATATGATATCTGAATGTACGAAAGACAAAACACAAAGGGAAGTATTGATACAGAAATATAGTCACAATAGACAGGAGATTGGTTTATTTTCAAATATACTCACAGAACCACATTCCGGAATGGCAAAATCTTTAATTACTATACTTGTATTTTTTATCAATAATTCCCTTTATCAAAATAGACTACTAAGGTATTATGTATTATTTATTTATGTATAAATGTTTTAAGTATGTGATGTATTTTTTAAAATTAGGGTATGATAAGGCTGACATATCCTTATAGGATAAAAGCCTCTAAATAAAAAAAGATAAAAAAAGATACTATATAAGTATGGTAAATCTGGTAATATTGATGATACGTTATTGATACGTATTTATAATATTTTGAGCTTGCAATAATAAAATAAAGCAGGGTTGCCGGATGCGAATTTTTATTTTAACCCAAACGTCAAATATTGTTTTGAAAGATTGTATCGAAATCGATGTGATTTTCAGAATTTTTACCTTATCACAAAGTTCTATCGTTTCTCACTTCGTTTTGCCATGTACCACAATGCCACAAAATAAACGACGAAAAAAGAAGGTCACTCCTTCTCTTTCTATTTTTTTCCTCTTCTTTCTTTCAATATATTCAGGCATATATTTTCCTACAATTATGTACCACATACCTGAACATAGTTTATTTCTAACTACTATTACCTAAAATTTCCAAAAAAAAATTACCCAAATATCTTCAGGCAGATTTCAATTTTTTTCTAAAATTTCTTCAACAATTTGATTTCCACAAAATTATGCGAATAGAAAAATTTTCATCCAAAATTGTGAAAAAAACAATCTGGCAACGCTGAAATCAAGTATTTACCAACCTACCTATCTTCATTGCATTATAATAACTTTATTGTTTTGTTTCGCAGTTCCGCCTGTTCTAAATCAATTTAAAAATCGAATACGCGCGACTTACATACTAACTTAAATCACTTTCAAAACTCGTCTTATACACACACACGAAAGTTACAGGGCCTTAACTCTTCCTTAGATAACGCACGGTCTATCTTCCTAGATTTGTTGAATATTGTGATTTAATTTTAGGTCGTCTATGCTTTATATCTTTTACTTTTAGTTGCTTGGTTATCCATAGAGTAACTGACTGTAGTAGCTTTGCGGCACTAATAAATATCTTCAGTACTTAGGATACTCTTTACTCTTTTACTCTTTAGTCTCCCTGTAGGTTAGGTTTTATATTACAGTTATAGTAGTAGTCATAGTTTTTCAATGGTATAAACTATATAAACATTTATGTATATTAACATGTATCTATTCAGTTACTTTATTCTAATACATAGTGACGAATAGTAATAATTAAACATTTTCAATACATAAATAGAACATATTTAATATAATTTTAACACGATATATAATGGACAAGAAATTGATATAAGGATAAAGGCTGTTTATACTGTACACAGGGAAAATCACGTGTGAAACTTTTTTTTATATACAACTTAGAATGGCAAACAAGTTAACGGCCCACCTGATGGAAAGTGGTAACCGTCGCCTATATACATGTGCAGTACCATGGACATAACAGAGAATACTGTTTCGTCCATGATACCCCCCATGCGTTGCCATTCCTGAGGACTCAAGTGTTATTCCTCTGTACCCAGTAAATTCATGCCATATCCTACCCTTTAAATCGAAACATAGCTATGCAAACATAACTGCTTCACAGTTGAAACACGAATGGGACAGAGATACCTAAGCAGACGACGTTTGTACAAAGTCTCCCTCTGGTTAAGTGAAACTGAAAAAATAGTGCCATACTGAGTTAGTGTATGAGCGTCTCAAATCGTTTTTCTATGCATTTTATTATTGTTATAATGAATTTTACCCATTATTTTCTATATGTCGTAAATTTCGCATAAGATCTGAATAATACCAGCCATTTCAACTATAACAAAATTTACATATAACTTAAAATAATTTAAATAGATTGTAAAAAAATATATCAAAACCGGTCCAGTGATGATATTGCGTAACGCAAGAGTACACACAAAAGTGTTTGTCCTATATTGGAGATCAGAATCCTTAAATGTCACACGATTCCAGATTACAGGTTTTTTTTTTAATAAGGGTTGTAAAATATAAAAGAAAATAGTTCAAGCATTCCGGACGATATGACAAACTCTATGAAAATTAACTTTGTTGGGAAAATTAACTTATATTTACTTTTGCAGTACTTTTTTCAGAAATTAAATAATATTTTTAAATTCTTTAAGTTTTGGAATATTATTATTATCGACAAAGTATTTTTGACAACAAAATAATATCGTAATAACGATAATAAGTGTACAGTCGTATATAGAATAGGCCACTCCTTTTTTCTGTGGGTATCGTAAGAGGCGACTAAGGGAACTTAATGGTCAAGGGATGGGCAGCAGTGTTCTTTTTAAAACATCACCAAAGTCTAACTGCTGTTGTTAGCTGCCTGCCAAGCATGACAACTACTGGCAAAACCTTCCCTTATAGGGGAAGCCTATGTTTAACAGCGGACAGTTAATATTATGATGATTAAATAAAAAAAATAAGTAAAGATACACATAATAGAAATAGTCATCAATAATAATTTGAAATAGTATCTTTTTATATAAGATGCAATTTTTTTAAGTAATTATAATTTTTCTTATAATATTTTATTAAATGTTTTTATTATCGGCAAATATTTGTTACCGGTCATAATTTACTGGCTGGAGTAATTTTAATAAATTTTTGATACACAAAGACACTTTTCTCTTAATTATAGCTGCTATCCGTATAATGGAGGGGGAATATGGGTAGGTATGAGTATATAGATAGAAATCGTATCATAAAACAAACAAATTAAATAGCCATTATTTTATTAACTCTTTATTCTCTTGAATTTTTGAAATTAATATTACAATATTCAATGCGGGCTTCATATACATCACCCAACTATTTGCTTATATACCACGACACAGTCACGTTGAATCGTATCATAGATCACGTTTGACCACAATTTTGTGATATCTCTTGTAATAAAAGTAAGTACCTATAGATTGTTTATCTATAGACCACTTATGTGTGCCTACTGCACTGCAGTTTCTTACTGAATTCAATAGATACCAGTACAAATTGACCTGTGTACGTTAATTAAAATAAATGCATTCAACACTGTTAAAGAAAATACAAATTCTCTCGTAATACTGAGAATAGCTGGTCTTATAAAGAATTTAGTTTTTGTTCTTTTTGGCCAAAACACGTATTTGTAGCTTTTTAATTTACAAGATATCAAAATATCATGGTCAAGCATTTATGACACAAATCTCAATACATAAATACATAACATAAACAAAAATAATGTAAACAAAAAATAATGCGCCACATAAACTTTCACAACTATTTACAGTTACTTATTTTAAGACGATTTTAATTTCTATATTCAAAAATATAGATATAGGTACATACATACATAGCTACATTTATATTAAGACAATATTGATAGATTAATTTGAACTAAGAGAACGGAAGTCTTGTCATTGTTAACACGTTTAAATGGAGTAACTTTACAACGCAACAATGAGTTTAAACTTAATAAACAAGTTAAATGAGATGATAAATTGAGGAAAAACTTTTAAGGGATGTTAATTAAAAAGAATATTAATTCGGACGCTTCGTTAAGCAAGTAAAAATAGTTAAGTGTGCACAACATTGCACTGGTATAACTATAGAAAGGTATACCTGTAAGCTGATCAAGATATACTGTTTTGCTTTGAAGTAAGTAATGTGCTAAATCACAGTGAACAACTTACTAATTCCGCACTATAATGTACTTGCATAACGAAGCTACGTATAAGTATTGAGATATACATTCGATTAGTAAGATATGTATACCTCACCAGTCTACAAAAATACTAGCAATATGGCAAGACAGCATTACGGATGGAGGACGTATATAATCTATTTAGCAAATTGCTCATTGTTTCACATGAATTACAGTTCTTTACGAGGCAGAAACAATAAAGAGAACCTGTCGTAAATCAATGGACGTTCATGCACAAGTATCGATACTATGTTATAAGTTTTACCTATTGTTGGGCCAAACTTAATGGTCGATTAAGCCGGCGCTACCAATTTACAACCTTGAAAACCACTGGTTTCTAATTTGCACATTCCCATAAAAACAATGTTCGTTAGAAGCAAATAATTAAAGGAACAAAATAACTATTAAACATAGTGTATAAATGCATAAGTAACAATTAAATTCGTATACACAAATTGTGTTTATTTTTTTGTTTATTTTGTTTAACTTCAATGCATTTTGTGCACGTCCCATATTGGAATAATCCAATGCATACAGATAAAATTAGATCTTTGCTTATAGTAATCCCAAACGATACTAAACAGTTTCATAGGCGTTTATTTTTCTCAAACACTAACGACCGGATTCATACGCTTATATTTTTATGACAAGTTTCTACGGTATTATAACTATGCATTATAATTTATAAAGCCTACTTATACCAAAGTTACTTAAGTACATTTTGTTCGATTTTGATTCTCGATTTTATATTTTAAAATAAGATGGGATAAAACTTTATGACTAACGACAACCTTATATCTTCAGTATGTTATTTTTATGCTTGAAAATTGTTAATAATATGGCGAAATCGACAACAATAGAAATTATATTATTTTGTTATATATGCCAAATCTCTGCTAGTATGATATTATGTACCTCTTTAATTGTTCTCGTCTAAAAGAAATACCAGCGAAATACGTCTTACATACATCGTTTAATTATTGCACCTTTGTTTAATTTTTTTTCAATACAACATTAATTTAAATGACTAATTGACTATTATAACATAATTTCCAACTATATTTTAATGGAGAAAATAATATTTTCCTTGGGTAGAGATTTCAATTTAATATCAAGATATATGTAGATGTTTAAATAAATGGTGGGAATGGGAAGAATGATTCGTGTCTCATGAATATCTTAAATCTACCGACGACTTAAAATCTCTTCTAATGATATCACGACATTGATTTCTATATTTTACGAATAACACAGTGGACAGATATTGAGAGGTGATTCATCAAAATTAAGCGAAGATTCCATTTTTAATACAGATATCTATTTATTTATTTATTCTTTTAAATCTACCCTGACATTAATTTACGTATAATGGTGACTATCAAGACTAATTTTAAATTTCTAATTTTGTTCAGATATTACGTATTCGAGTAAAACAAACGTATGGACGCGGTAGAAACATATAGGTAGTTATAGTGTAGGTAAATGCTAAATATTATATTTTGGCACAATCGAAATCGAAAGCGAACGGAAATGTATCTACGTGTGGCCAAAATTAAGTTACAATTGTATAGAAGATTGTTCTAAAAAAACATATGTCTTTTAGCTCTAGTAATACTTGAGTTTATAGGCTGTTGGTAGACGCGTTAACTTACTCAGCCGATAAATTTCTATGAGCTTCGTAAAAAATACAGCCTGTTCTATAGATAATATACGATCTGTCTGTAAGGAAAAACACAAGAATAATATTGACATATACGAAATGTGACTAAAAAGCTTGTGACCACTGTTTATTCTACCTTAGTAAGTTATGTATCTACCTATTAATGTTCTTAGCAAATACTCCATACAAAGTCGAACCTATTTAACTATGTATAATACACTTATACTACTCAACTTTAATATTACGTGTAAAATTTATATTTAGTCACATTATTGTAATTTATTATATGTATCATCGTTACGTATATAATTTTGAACATCAGATGACTTGGGATTCGTGGACGACATACCGCACGCATGCTGTTCCGATCCGTTATTATTATTTTTGTTCTATTTGTTCTTGTTCTATTTCGATTGGACATGGTATTCTTTAATTAGAACTATCAAAAAATACCGCTTAATATCAATATTATTATTTCTGATAGACAGAAAATATAAAACACAACGAACGTTATGACGACCTATTCGCAATTGTACTTCCATACGTATTTTGTTTTAAATATACACTTTATGTTCTTACGGAATTAGCTATGCAGGTAATAATTAATATTTGTCCATAGTACACCTATCAAAATTAAAAGCTCAAAATGATACAACAATTTTCGGACTTAAACTACTGAAATGAATCACAATCTGGTCAAAATAAAAGTAACTCTTTTTGAAATCAACTGATAAAATACAACAAATTTCACAATCATAAAAAAATGTGACGGATAAAACATAACCAGTCCGCTATAAGCGGACAAATAATAAAATATACATCAAAATGTACATAATATAATATCTAATAATAAAAATATAACATAATGGATTAGAGTAAGTGGTAGCAATAAATACTATGAGATTCACAGATTTAAAATCTTAACTAACAATACCGAAGTTCACTCGGGCTTCTATGTAAATCTTAGAGCGAATCTAAAGTTTTTTGTAAATTTTAGTAAAATATTATTGCAATACAAGGTGTGGTTATGGCAACAAAATAAATGCTTAAAGCACATCACCAGCCTGTCCACCCAGCGAACGACACGTAGGCAAGTCCTCCGCACTAAAGGAACATTAATTATAATAGAGTCACGGAACGCCTCCATAACGAGGCAACACTTCTAATAATCAGCCGCAAAACATAAAACTAGTGGATACGAAACGACTAAACGTTGCCCGCAGGTCCGTATGGACGCAACACTTCCATTCATGTATTCACACTATATGATACAGGATCAGTCAAGATTTCCTATGCGGTGTCATAAGCACCTTACGTCGGGACTTTATTCACTTTGAGGAGGTCGTTGGAGCCTTTATCGATAGGCATCTTCATAGGGTCGTGATGGTGGGTGACGTGGTGCCCGTGATGCTGGCCCTCCAGCTTCGCCTGTTTCTCCTGCTGTTGCTGCTTCATTCTATCTTGCTCTTCCCTCTCCCTGCGAGCCTGCTCATTTATCTCTTTCACAGCGCGCAGTTCTTTCTTTAATTTCATGCGTCGATTTTGGAACCATATCTTTATCTGTCGCTCCGTGAGGCACAGTGCATGTGCAATCTCTATCCTGCGCCGGCGTGTCAGGTAGTGATTAAAGTGGAATTCCTTTTCTAGCTCTAATGTTTGGAACCTCGTGTAGGTCTGTCGCCCCCGCCTTCGTGGACACCCATTTGGCCCTGGAAACAAAAGAAAGTACAATTTATAGTCGACTTCGATAAAGTTTCCTGATAAAGAGGATGCCCATCGTTATTTAAAGTAACGGTGACAATAAAAGTTCTCAGTGTAAAAAACTCAGTCACACATAATTATTGTTATTTACAGTTATATTATAGGGGCTTAAAATCGAGTTATTGCAACATATATCAACAGACATGCAAGTCGCGGTTGAATTCGCAGCGCGAAGGCTTCCGAGCGCGATCATTAAATTTCACTTTTATACCATCTTAGATTTTAATGGCTCATTAATATTTTATTACAACACTAAAGTTAATTTTAGAGTTATCCGCTACTGAGACCAACCTCAAAGTAGATTAATTGTCAGTTCTTTAAAAGCTCAGAAGAAATGTACTACTAATAGTTGGCGATAATAAAATACTTTTGCTAGGTAACAAATTTGTAATCTATAAAACAACTGCATGTATCTATATTAAAACAATTTCTTTAGAGTAAAAAATAACGGAAAGGGTTAGCGGCAAACGATCCGCAAACAATAGTGTTCGTTTTATAAGAAATCACTACAAAAAATCAGGGATGCGTAAAGAAGGGTTGCGCAACTTTCTAATGCTTTGTAAGGTGTCTCCTTTACGTTTGTTCATGTGAAATAACTTTCTTGGAATTTGTGAAAGTTAACCCTTTATCCACGACAAAAATATTCAATAACAAATAACGAAGGTTACTTGTTAAAATTTTTTAACTTTATATCTCACTGTCAATTTATCAACAGAAAGTTTAATTGCCTTATTTCTCACGTACTTACACTCCACATACAGATTAAAAGGCCGGCATACATAGTTATTTACCTCCGATCGAGTTTCAAACAGGTTTTAGAGGCAGCCAATAAATAAGGTAAGATAAATAGTCGTCCCATCTGTATAAAGTTGATAGCGAACCAACGGCATGTCTCGGAATGTTTGATCGTAGTGTAGGCCGGCCTAAGGTGGGTACCTCGTCGCGTTTAAAATGTATAGATACGGCTAATGGATTATTTTAATACTTATTCTTAAACTCCATTACTTGAAGTATTAATCTTATTACTAACCTTTTCTTTTGGGATATACGAGTACATAACAAATAAATGAGTAAGATTGAGGTAAATAAACACCTACAATTAAAAATGCAGTTTTAATTGTTAGTAAATAATACTTTTGACATTTATTATTCTTTCTTTTGACCATTATAATGTGTGCGTTTGTTGGCCTCCACTAATTTATTAAGGTTACTGAAAGTAGTCCGTATAGGTCATTTTTGATATTCTACTAATTATGTAGAGGATTTATTAATTTCATTTTTTAAGACATTAAAGTACCGAACAGGAACAGTTATAAATGTAATGTAGATTGTAAATTAACGCAATTAATTTGATATACGACATAATAATTTGAGTTTTGAATTTATTTACTAATTTAATTTATGTTCGTGTGTAAATTTTAGTAATAGACTGTTCTAATTTTTTAATAAGTTGCTTACATTTAAATATGAATAACGTCAATTAATTGGTGTAATTGCTGGTTAGCAAATCTTGTCGCTTGATACATGATTTGCACGTTTCATCAATTACAAGAATATATGATTCGAATGTTATAGATGACAAGCCTATCTACATATTTTTAACCGATTTCAAAAAGAAGGAGCTTCTCAATTTGGTTCTTTTTGTATGCTTGTTATCTTCTAACTCCGACAGTTTTAAACCGATGGTGAAAAGTCTTTATCTGAAAGAATGTATTTGCAGATTGGTTTTATGATTTTTTTTTAAATCAATTGAGTAGTTTAGTTTTTAAATCAAAATAACTAATTTTGCCACAATCGAACTCGGTTTCGGGGAATTACGCCGAAAATTTAAAATTGACACACAAGCCGTTCAATCTTAAGAAACGATCTCAGTATTATAAGAGGACGCTGAAGGACTAATCAACAGTATTCTTATTATTTTTTTTATGCAATATGTGACATATATGATATAAGTCTTAGAAGATTTTGTTGGGGTTGGGGTTTTTTAAAGTTAGATAAGTGGTCAGATAAGTCTGAAAAGATTTAAGTTCGTCTTGTGAACTCGTCACTAAATTCCTTTTAAGAATTTCGGAATAAGTTACTTTTCTATTACATATACAGAATTTTGCAACTATTATTATAATTATTTATATTTGATCTATATGATATATCAGTATTTGTATTTACTTGTTTACATACAGTAGTGCTTCACCTACCCTTTGTTTTTCTTTCTTTTCTCAATGTTCTCTACACAAAGGTTGTCTGGAAGAGATTACTTAGCGATAAGGCCGCCTTTTGTATCATTTCTCATTACAGTTAAATGTATTTACTACTCTATAGATGGTGCAATAAAGTGTAAAATAAATAAATAATATTTAAAAAAAAATGAATTGGCATAAGTCATAAGAGAAACAATGAACAATGATATACAGTCTTGCTTCCCAACACACAATAAATCTATTCCAACAAATATATTCACAAAATCTATGTATCACCTGATCACTTTACGATGCAAAAAGATATAGAAGCAATGCTTGTGGGGGAAAGATTGACATGTTTCGCTTACGATCTCTACTGAACAGTTGCAATGTCGCGAAGTCGTGATATGCTTATTACCATAGTTGAAGTAGACGCATTTCCGTTTCTACTAATTGAGTTTCTACTATGAAATATCTATTTTATGTAGGCTTTTTTCGTTCATGATAATGAAAGATATACTATAGCTACACATCTATCGATAGTAATTTAGATCATCATTAATTAAGAAAGTAAAAAATTTTGAAAAGAAAGAAGACATTACCTTAGTTCGAGTATATTTTTTTATCAATTTTCCCTTCTCAGACCTTAAAGGTGTGTATAATTATGAAATGAAAGTCAGTCTATTAACTATACGTTTGTAATTAAGGTGACAATAATTAGAACATTCTCGTTTTAGGGGCCGATAACACCCAAGATTTGTGTGATCTTTATTAGATACAAACTATTCCAATTAATTAAAATGTATTAGAATTGATTTCCACAGTCAGATAAGAACACTTTACCAGTGGGTCTATGGGAAATTTTGTAGATAATTTTAACGTTATCTCACATACAAGAAAATTTAATTAACGTAAACTTATGAACGAATTAAAATAAAATAATATATACAATACATTTATTAGATGTACGTAACATGATACCTAAATTGTTACATAAGCATATATGTACGACGTAAATAAGTACTAAAGAAAAAACAGAAATACAAAGTAATCTTGCAGCGTAAATCCAAATAATATTTTAATGCTTAATGTGTTAAAAAATATGCATCCAAGTATAAATCATGTGACTCGCCCAAAAGTCGAATAGCACATTTACATGAGCAATAAATTACAGTAACTGCCTTTTTACGGCCGTAATAACATTTACGGTCCATGCTTATTTCAACAAAAACTTAAAAACTGTTTAAAATGTCATAAATAGAGAATAGAATAATTATACAAGTGCGGTTAGAGTAGATAGAATAGCAGTCAGAGTGCGTATAAAAGAGATAGATACAGCTATTCTAATTTTAAAAAGCAAAGATGGAACCCGAAACACAATACACGCATCCCAATAATGTCATTAAAGAGAAAGGTCGTAAGTGGTGTTTGATGAAGCGTGAAAGGGATCCTTCTGGTTTATGGGGTAGAGTCTAAAATCTGTGTAAGATGGGGCGAGTTGATCCGTTTTTTGTTGGGTACGGCAATATGTTAGCAAGGCAGGTTGGCCACCCTTCGCACCGTTTCCATGACAACGAACGTTAAGGCACCTCCCGTCAGCTGGGTTCCATTATTCTCTCTTGCTTTGTGTCGCGAGGAAATTTCGTTATATTGTGTACCTGTACAACACTTTTTAATAGGACGACCACAGTTTCCCAGGGTCTGATAAGGATCAGATTGCTAACCATACGAACTACTTATCCATTGAATTAATTAACATTGTTTTTCTATTATTAAATGGAAGTCAGGATTAAAGTAGCAATGTTAATATTCTTACGAACAACGTTTATTTTAAACTTTAGCTCAATAAGTCACTTTAAGTGGATCGACTTCGGGCAGGCGTTAGAAAAATAAAACTGAAGTTGAAACGTCGGCACAAGCGCAATATATCGTAGAGGGTGACGGCATAGCATTAATTAGTGCCGTACATTGTGAGCCGACATCGGCCGACTATAAACATACTGCGACAAGACCTGGCTCTTACCTTACCTCCCTTTTTTCTCCGAAATAAATCTTATGGAATGCCGCTGCTTATATTTTATTTAACTTTGTATAAACCTGCTCGCCTTTGTGGAAACCAGTTTTAAGTAGAATTTGATTAATGCTTGCCTGCGGGAGAATATTAAGGGCCAGCATATGAATTATAATGTTTTTTGAGCAAGGATGTTATTTATGAAAAGGGTAGGTAGGGTCAATAGAATTATGTGTTTAAATTTTTGTACCCACGCTGTAGTTCGAGTTCTTAGAGAAGTAGTAACAAGTAGCAGTTACACTGGCTCAGGCACATTTAAAGAAAACTCTTTACAAGAAGTACTCAAACCTCTCTATTTTTTTTTCTCTGACAAGATTCGTTGTTAATTTTATTTTTATGACCTTATTATAATTTTTATTAATTTTATTGAAATGCATATAAGAAACCAATAAGTTACGTTGTAGAAGAATGAATTATTGAGCATTGTGTTTTATATCAATTAAATGAACATTAAGATCTAGTAGAACTGTCGTGGAGTGTGTGCGACATCGTAGTTTATTGGCTCATAAATCGCGAATCATCGTAAAATGCGCGCGCGTTCTTAAAATAATTTTAAGTTCGAAATTCGAAAACTCAATTCTGTCACTTAGTTCTACGTATTTAAATAAAGAACTTCCTTAACAAAAAGCGTTATAATTAGCAAGGTAAAAATGCGTTCTTATTAAAGATTGGATAATAATTAGTTTATACAGGCATATAT